TCAGTCAAGAGGTGAAATGAGCAATTTATGTTTCATCTGGGATGGGTCAATCACCAAACTTCCCATCACCCTCCAAGCTCTTTGACGGATCAATGAGTAGTAAGCAGATACATATGGAGAGATAAATGAATGACCAGGATTGGACTCTGGTCTCTGCAGAGACTTTTCCTGTCATCAGAAAAGCCTTTCTTGGGCTGGGCAGGTGGCTCAGTGGTAGAGTGCTCGCCTAGCATGCATGAGGCCCTGGGTTCGATTCCTCAGCACCACATAAGCAGAAAAAGCCAGAAGTGGCACTGTGGCTCAAGTGGTAGATTTGCCAGCCTTGAACACAGAGAGGCTCAGGGACAGCGCCCAGGCCCTGAGTTCAAGGCCCAGGACCTGAGTTCAAGGCCCAGGAGCGGCAAAAAAATAAAAGCCTTTCTTGACAAACCCAGATATGTGCCAGTCCCTTCTGTGTTCTGACTTTCCCCAGTGCTCAGTGTACTGCTTAAAATAAAACTATACAAGCCAGGGCACTGGTGGCTCACGCCTGTCATCCCAGCTACTAAGGAGGCTGAGATCTGAGGATCACTGGTAAAGGCCAGCCCAGGCAGGAACATCCATGAGACTGTTATCTCCAATAAACCACTCAGAAAACCAGAAGTGGTGCTGTGGCTCAAGTGGTAGAGCACCCACCTTGAGCTGAAGAGCTGAGGGACAGCGCCCAGGCCCTGAGTTCAAGCCCCAGACTGACAAAAACAAACCAAGGAGAAACGGCTTCCTCAGTGGTCTCTAGAACACAGAAGCTAGCTTCTGGCTCCAGCAGATTTTCATGTGTGTGGTCTGTTTATATTTCATCTCCTTAGGATAACTTCGTGGGGAAGGGGTGCTGCTCATTTTTTTCCCCCTGTGAGGTTGTCTGAAGGATTTATGAGAGTACTTGATTAAAATATGGTTTTTAATTTGTCTTGCTTCTATGAGTTAAATATAACGCCTCCCAGATTGTGGGGAAATATTGAATATCTTTTGTTGCAAAGCAGTTAACTTTAATGTAATAAAATCGACTACTCTTTCGCTCCATGGGTTGTGCTTTTTTTTTCTTTTTCTGGGCCTATTTAAAGAACTTTCCATCTGTAGCTGAGTATCAGTGAGTATCCTGCCTGTCATCCCAGCTACTCAGGAGGCTGAGATCTGAGGACCGTGGTTCGAAGCCAGCCTGGGCAAGAATGTCTGTGAGACTCTGATCTCTAACCGCTAGAAAACCAGAAGTGGAACTGTGGCTCAAGTGGTAGAGCGCCCGCCTTGAGGAAAAGAAATTCAAGGTCTGTTCCCAGGCCCTGAGTTCAGGCCCCAAACCTAGCACAAACAACAACAACAAAACAACTTGCCATTTGTATAGCTATTTAAAAGACACCCAGCCCCGTTTCTTTTAAAAGTTGTTAAGTTTTCCTTATAGTATTTGAATTCTTTTCTTTCTCTGATTTTTTTTCCCCACACCATGCACTAAATGGTTTCCCCTTTACCTGGTGATCAATAGTGTTGGAGCTGATTCATTCATTCATTCGTTCATTCATTCATTCGTTCCCACACCACTGCATTGTCTTTGCTATTAAAACTTTTTTTGGGGGTTGGTCGTGGGACTTGAACTCAGGGCCTGGGCTGCCCAGAGTTTGATGCCAAACAGGCAAACGAACCCTGTCAGGGTGGTAGGCCCAAGGGGTGGGAAAATCGAGCCTTCAGATTCTTCCCCATGATTTTTAAACATTTCTTCTGAAACATTATCTTTAGGTAGCTGTTCGGAAGGGTTTCCATTCACTGTGGCGGTGTGGGAGGATGAGGCGTCTTGATTCATGCCTTCCCTTCCAATCTTCTCCCCCAGCTCGCCCCACCCCACCCCTTCTCCTAAGTTCCTGGGTTCCACGGACGTTAAAGATGAGGATCACATCCTTCCACCCCTTCTCTCTCCATTTGTTTGCCATCCCTGCCCCCTTTAAAAAATTATATGTTTTATTGTAAAGATACTGTACAGAGGGGTCACAGTTACATGAGCAAGGTCATGAGGCCATTTCCTATTGAGCATGGTTACCTCCTCCTTTGTTTTTCCCCTACCATCCCTTCCCTCCCCACCTCCCCCAAAGTTGTAAAGTTCGTTTTCAACATAGGGTCTTGTATATGTCTCATTGTTTCAATGGGTCAGCCTGTATCCTTACTTCAGAGTTTTGTTTTTTTTTTCCCTTCCCCTCCTCAAATTAGAACAATGTATATACAAGATGCAGAGCACCAACATCAAATACAGTGAAAACAAGAGTTATACCATGGGGGAAGAACATACAAAGAAACAAAAAATCACACAGTGCATTATACGTACATTAAAAACAACAGCAAGAAAGAGAAAAGCACTTGTGTCCCTGTCTTGGGGTTCATTTCGCTTAGCATCATCTTATCTGGTCATAGGTACATAGCTTTTGACCTTTACTGCTTGTCCTAGACATATACTAGTTATTGCAAATAAGGGAAACCATGGGACCTGTGTTTCTTTGGGCTTGGCTTACTTCACTTAATATAATTTTTTCCAAGTCTTTCCATTTCCTCACAAATGGGGCAATGCCATTCTTTCTGATGGAGGTATAGAATTCCATTGTGTGTGTGTGTGTGTGAGTGTGTATGTGTGTGTGTTTGTGTGTGTGTGTATAACAGACCACACACATGAAAATCTGCTGGAGCCAGAATCTACCTTCTGTGTTCTAGAGGCCACTGAGGAAACCATTTCTCCTTGTTTTGTTTTTGTCAGTCCTGGGGTTTGAACTCAGGGCCTGGGCACTGTCCCTGAGCTTCTTTTGCTCAAGACTAGCACTCTACCACTTGAGCCACAGCGTCACTTCTGGCTTTTTTTCTGTGTCTGTGGTGCTGAGGAATGGAACCCAGGGCTTCATGCATGCGAGGGGAGCACTCTACCACTGAGCCACCTGCCCAGCCCCTGGGCTCCATTTATTTCTCAAGCACTCAGGTGATGAGGGAGAGTTTCGCTGTGTTTTTTTCTGACCTCCCTCCTCTCTCCTGTACCCTCCCCCTTTACAAAAATCATCAGAACTTTAGGTTGTGTTTTAAGTCTGTAGATACGGAGGTGGGAGGGTTTATTGTATGTTTACCCTAGTCCACCCTTCCCTACTTGTGTTGGAACTTTGCTGGACTTTTTTCTAGTAGCTTCCTGGACCATCTGGTAAATTCCACGGATGGAACTGAAAATGGAAAACAGAGGGCACTATGAACTCACAAATGCGGCATTTCCACCCAGCCTGCAACCATCAGGCTAATCGGGAAAACCCATCTTTTGTAGCAGCCCAAATCTGCCCCTTTTGAAAAGCGGTGCAAGAGGTTAAAAAGGAAGGATTTTGACACAGGCCTGTCTCCCCCATGAAGAAATAGGCTTCTTTGTGAGGGTTGGAGGATGGTGGTTCAAAGCCAGCCCGGGCAGCGTCCATATGAGACTCTCATCTCCAATGAACCACCAGAAAACTGGAAGTGGCGCTGTGGCTCAAGTGGTAGAGCACCAGCCTTGAGCTGAAGAGGTGAGGGACAGCACCCAGGCCCTGAGTTCAAGCCCCACGATCAGCAACAACAACAACAACAACAAAACCCCAAAACTAAGCATAGAGCTACCCTATGACCCAGCCATGCCATTCCTGGGCATTTGTCCAATAGACCACAAACCAGGTTACAGCAAAGCTACCAGCACAACCATGTTCATTGCAGCACTACTCACTGCAGCCAAGGTATGGAATCGGCCCAGATGCCCCTCCGTGGACGAATGGATCAAGAAAATGCGCTGTAAGACACACAACAGAATTGTACTCATCCAGGAGAAAGGATGCTAGTGTACTGTTTTGAAAGAAATGGAAAGACACGGGCAAAAAAATTACATGAAGTGAAACAGGTCAGGCCCAGAGAGACCAAGAATTTTAGTTCTGATGTCTACCCGGTATTCTGGAACTAGTGGACAAACCTGGCCATTCTTCTTTGGATAGTGGCTGAAATCATATTTTAACCCCCCTTTCCTCCCCATTCCCCATCCCTCACCTCCCCATACCCCTCCTCCCGCCCCCCAGAGCTGGGAGGGAGGAAAGTGTCTGAATCTCGTGTGATGGAGCAAGCAGAACATGTGAAGTGGGTGACCCACTGAGCTCTTTCTTGCCACCATGGCCTGTTGGAAGTCTGTCCCACCATGGAATGACATGGGCCATCTTCCTGATGATTAACCCCTTCCTTCCCCATGTCCGGTGGGCAGATCTGACCTCTTCAGCCTCCAGGGATGTGAGTCTCAACAAACTTCATTCCTTCCCTCCAGAAACAGACGCTCAGGGATGTGTTCAGTTCAACTTCCTCCAGAGGTAGTTTTGCCCTCCTCACCTGGATCTTCCATGGGCTGGGTGGGGTGTCTGTGGGGGACCCATGGAAGAATGAGGGGACCCATATTGATGTCTGAGCTGAAGCTTGGAGAAGAACATAGCCACGGTAAGAACATTTAGGAAGGGAGGGATGAAATGCATTTCTTTCTTTCTTTCTTTTTTTTTTTTTGTCGGCTGTGGGGCCTGAACTCTGGGCCTGGGCGCTGTCCCTCAGCTCTTCAGCTCAAGGCTAGCACTCTACCAGTTGAGCCACAGCACCACTTCTGGTTTTCTGGTGGTTCAATGGAGATCAGAGTCTCACGGACTTTCCTAGCTAGGCTGGCTTTGAACCATGATCCTCAGGTCTCAGCCTCCTGAGTAGCTGGGATGGCAGGCTGAGCCATTGATGCCCGGTGACACGAATTTCTTTCACAGATGGAGGCACAAGGATTTCTTAGCAGGAATAAGATACTGCCCTGGGCGTAGCAGGAAAACCACAGAATTTCCATCAGTATGGCTCTTGCCTTCCTCTTTTTATTTATTTATTTATTTCCTTTCCTTTCCTTTCTCTTTCCTCTTCCCCCCTCCTCCCCTCCTCCTCTCCTCCTCCCCACATCCCCTCCTCCTCCTCCCCACTTCCCCTCCTCCTCCTCCCCCCCACACCTGTTTGAATTTAGGACCTTACAGGCAGGTACTCCACCACTTGAGCCACAAACCCAGTCCTTTTTGCTTTCAAATAGGATCCCTAACATATGCCTGGGAGGGTGTAACGTGTGAGTCTCCCATTTATGTTTCCCAAGGAGCTGGGATGACAGGTTTGAACCACCACATCCAGCTTTTATTGATTCCCCGCCCCCCTTGGATTGGACTCCACCTGTCACCCTCCTGATCTCAGCCTCCCAAACAGACAGGGCCGACAGCCAGGAGCCACCGGCCTGGCTCTCCTTACGGCAACATTCTTATGGCCGTTCAGTCTCAGGGGCAGCAGCATTTGTTTCTGTGTGGGGAAGGACGGTAGCTTCCCGCCATGTGGCGCTCAGGGTGATAGTTTAGCTGGTGTTACACATGGGAATTCCTTTAGGTGTGCTACAAGAGTTTAGAAGTTTCCGTATCGCTTCTAGAACCCAAGAGACGATGTCTTGGAATGAAAGGTTCTATTCATCTGCATTAAACAAAGATGGACGCCAGGACTGGTGTCCAAATATTTGCTAACTGGGTCTTTGGAGCCACGCATGGTCTGATTTCTTATGTGCATACGATGAGACAGTGGGTGAAAATCAGAGACCTTCAGCCACACAGGTGAGACACAGCCTGGCACCTTCTGACTCCTTCCTTCAAATATCACCACTTTGTCTGTCTGTCTGTCTCTTCTGGTACTGGAGTTTGAACTCCAGGCCTCAGGCTCACTCAACTAGCTGGTGCTCTACCACTTGAGCTATACCTCCAGCCTGACTTTTTTTAACCAGTCCTGGGGTTTGAACTCCAGGACCTGGATGCTGTCCCTGAGCTTCTTTTGCCCAAGGCTAGCGCTCTATCACTTTGAGCCACAGTGCCAACTTCTGGCTTTTTCTGTGTCTGTGGTACTGAGGAATCGAACCCAGGGCTTCATGCATGCTAGGCGAGCACTGTACCACTGAGCCACCTGCTCAGCCCAAGCCTGGCTTTTTGGTTGGTTAATTTTTAGATGGACGTTCTCAGCCTTTTCTTCCCAGTCTAGACTCGAACTTCCACCCTCTGTCTCTCAGCCTCCTGAGTAGCTAGGATTTCAAGCATGAACCAGTTACTTATCTTTTTCTTTTTTAATTAAAAGCATATAGATTTCATTGGCACAGCTACTTATTAGAACTTCAGAGCAGGGAGCTGAGGGCATGTACAGGTCCTTTCTGCAATTCCACTTTCAAAGATGTTGTATTTCCCCCTCCTTATCAATTACAGATGTTGTAAGTGGCCATCATAGCCGACTGGAGCACTATGCGGATTTACTGCTGCCAAAAGTTTTGAGCAATTAAATGAATCGTAGCACCTGCCATGTGAATTTCTTCAATTTCATTAAATGGCTCCCTTCTAGAAAGCACTATTGTGAAAAAAAATACATATATGTTTTGATGAAAAGGCTTGGGACATTATAGAGTGATTTTTTTCCCCCTAGTGTTTAAAAGGTCTTCAGAATGAAAAAAAAAAAAGTGGTGAACATGCTGTTTTAAGCTTTTTATTTTTTTGCCACTTTCCAAATGTCACATTGAGAGAAAGCAGAACGCCATCACAATTACAGACTTGAAGGCCGCCCCTCCACCCCGTGCCTTCCTCTCTCAATATTCCTTCTTGTATTAAAAAGAATCTAACGTAAGTTGGGTTTCGATCTGAATTTGATAATGCAGGTGATTTGTCAGGCCTGCCCTTCACCCCTTAAAAAAAAATCCCTGCACACAGAGCAGAAGCTAGGTATCAAATGCAAGGCCATGCGAATCGTGGACTCCGTGTAAGGTGCTCCTGTCAGCACGTGGTAGTTTATAAGGTCCATATGGCATTGCTTATGTAGCTTACACTATACAACTGGGGTCTAGATAACATATGATGCAGATATCAAACACTACCACAGGCTTGGGGCGCACAATCACATACACACATGCATGCACGAAAGAACCCATTTTTTGTTTATTGTTTTTTTGTCAGTCCTAGGGTTTGAACTCAGGCTCTGGGCTCTGTCTCATATTTTTATTATATTTAATTAATAATTAATAATTCCCTGGAAGAAAGTCCCAGGGGGGTGGGGAAGAGCAGCGGCCGCCATTTTGTCTGGGACTTCCACAAGGCTGGGGTAACTTTTCAGATGGAGAGCTCAGAGGTGAGGAAATCTTTGCTTCACTCTCTGTCTCTGTCTCTGTCTCTGTCTGTCTGTCTGTCTCTCATTTTCTGTGGCTGTCTGTCTCTGTCTCTGTCTCTGTCTCTGTCTGTCTGTCTGTCTCTCATTTTATTTTATTGTCAAGGTGCTGTTCAGAGGGGTTGCAGTTACATAGGTAAGGTAACGAGTACATTTCTTGTTGAACATTGCTACCCCCTCCCTCGTGTTTCTCCCACTTTCCTTCCCCCATCCTGCCCCCCCAATTGTAAAGTTCACTTCCAGCACAGTGTCTTATGAGTATCGCATTGGTTCACCCTTCATCCTTTGTGTCACCATTTTGTTTGTTCCCCTTCCCTTCCCCAAATCAGATAAATGTATATACAAGAAACAGGGCACCAGAATCAAAAACAGGGATTATAGGGGATAAAACAAAGGGGTAAGGGGAAGAAGAACTTCATACTGTACATTAAAAGCAACAACATCAACCACAAAAAACCCTTCTAGTTTCCATTTCTCGGAGTTCATTTCAATGAGCATCATCTTATATGGTCATATGTACATAGTTATTGAGCTACTCTGTTTAGTACTAATACATGTATACTAATGATTACAAATGAGGGAAACCAAGGAGTTTATATGATTTCACTTAATATGATTTTTCCAAGTCTTTCCATTTCCTTACAAATTGGGCAGTGTCATTCTTTCTGATGGAAGCATAGAACTCCATTGTGTATATACACCACATCTTCTTGATCCATTCATCTTCTGAGGGGCACCTGGGTTGGTTCCATATCTTAGCTATGGTAAACAATGCTGCAATGGACATGGTTGTGTTGGTAGCTTTAGTGTGGCCTGGCTTGTGGTCAATTGGATAAATGCTCAGGAGGAGGATTTCTGGGTCATAGGGGAGCTCTATGTTTGCTCTTTTGAGGAATCTCCATACTGCTTTCCAGAGTGGTTGAACAAGTTTACACTCCTACCAACAGTGCAGAAGAATTGCCTTTTGGCCACATCCCCACCAGCATCTACTATTATTTGTCTGTTTCTTGTTCTAAAGGACCTGAGCAAGGCATTTCTATGCAGTATCTTTCACTTTTTGTTTTCTTTTTCTTTTCTTTGTGATGATCCTGGAGCTTGAACTCAGGGCCTGGGTATTGTCTCTGAGCTTTTTTTTTCACTCAAGGTTGGTGCTCTACCACTTGAACCACAGCTCCACTTCAGGCTTTTTGGAAGTAAGAGTCTCATGGACTTGTCTACCTGGGCTGGCTTTGAACTGGGAGCCTTAGATCTCAGCCTCTTGAGTAGCTGACAGGCTTGAGCCACCAGTGCTGAGTTCCCAAAGTATTTAATGGATGAATGTCTGAATTGTGTATCTACTTACATTGGAACATCTTGCTGACATTTTTATTTTACCTGGGATGGTGCTGGTGGTGGAGGTGGCAATTTGTTCTATTTTGATGGCCAGGTTATAAAAATAAATGGTTCATTTTTCCTAGGGGTCTCAACTTTAGGACCAAACTTCCTTCACATGCTATCAAACTCTGCTCTGGTCTAACCCTAGTCACTCAGGAGTCTGAGATCTGAGGATCGTGATTCAAAGCCAGCCTGATCAGGAAAGTCCGTGAGATTCTTCGCTGTGATGAATCACTATAAAAGCTGGAAGTGGAGCTGTGGCTCAAGTGGTAGATCACTTGCCTTTAGTGACAAAGCTGTTGCACCCAGGCCTTGAGTTCAAGCCCAGGATACACACACACACACACACACTCTCTCTCTCTCTCTTTCTCTCTCTCTCTCTCTCACACACACACACACATTTTATCTTGCCATGGGTGACTAACAATCACACCTGGAAATTTCTATAAATAAAACAGATTTAAGTTGCATGAAATTATATTCAAAGGTGCTAATGAGTGTCAGTGATGTTTAATAAGAGAAGCATAAGGCTCCCATGAGGCTGTCTTCTCACTGGTTTGGCTGCACACAGCTCACCTTGTCTTCACAGAGTGCCTTACTAAAATCCACCTGCTTTGACTCTTTTTTTGGGGGGGTTCTGGATCTTAAACTCAGGGCCTGGGCACTCTCCCATAGCTTTTGTGTTCAAGGCTGGCGCTCTACCACTTGAGCCACAGCACCACTTCTGGTTTTCTGGTGGTTCCTTGGAGATCAGAGTCTCACGGACTTTCCTGCCCGGGCTGGCTTTGAACCGTGATCCTCAGATCTCAGCCTCCTGAGTAGCTGGGATGACAGGCATTTATGATACTCCAGGTTGAGACAATTAGAGGGAAAAAAGGCTCAAAGCACTTTCTAAGCACCATTATGAAAATCTGTGCTGGTTTGTTCAATGATACTCACTTTTACTGCATGAACTTGAATTCTTACAGAAAAATACCTGAAGCTACGCCGGTTCCAGGGCAAGGTCTGTTTGTTTTAAGGCTAACACACACAGTCCAGTGTCTTCATTTCCTAAGAACTGTAGAAATATTAAACTTATGCGAGCTTTTATTGGTCTTCATAAACCATGCAGAGCAGAGTCTCTTTCATTTAAGAGGTTTTATGGCTTCATGTATTAATATCCTCCCATGGCTGAAAATATTTCACATTTACACAATGAAAAAAAATGCATCTTTTAATTACTGCCAGGGGGGCAGCGTCGACACTACACCTACAGACGCAGGCCCCAAGTGAACGAAGAGTTTTCTCCACCGATGAAAGGGGTCAATGTAGATCTAGATGCACTGTAGTCATAAGCAAAGGTGACTCTGAGAATCACAGTTCAAAGCCAGCCTGGGCTGGAAAGTCCAACAACTGCAAGGAAAGAGAAGAACATGGTTTTCTCCGTCTTAATGGGAGGAGTGATTGTTCTGGCCTGGACACACAGCAGCCAGGCCCCAGTGGCTCATCTCTGTCACCCTAACTGCCCAGGAGGCTGAGAGCTGAGGATCGAGGTTCAAAGCCAGCCTGCACGGAAAAGTGCGTACGACTCTTATCTCCAATTGGGAAAAGCCAGAAGCAGTGGTGTGGCTCAGGTGGTGCAATGCCAACTTCGAGTGAATCAAGCTCAGGAACCCGTGTCCAGTCCCTGAGTTCAAGCCCCAGTACCAGCACAATGAAAGACAGGGAAGGAGAGGGGAGGGGGAGGAATGGAACATAGACTAGAATAGAAAAGAGGGGCCGGGCACCGGTGGCTCCCGCCTGTCATCCCAGCGACTCAGGAGGCTGAGATCTGAGGATCACGGTTCAAAGCCAGCCTGGGTAGGAAAGTCTGTGAGACCTTTATCTCCAATAAACTACTCAGAAAACTGGAAGTGGAGCTGTGGCTTAACTGGTAGAGCGCCAGCCTTGAGCTGAAGAGTGCAGGGACAGCGCCCAGGCCCTGAGTTCAAGTCCCACGACCCACAAAAAAAAGAAAAAAAAGAGGGTAGGGAAGGAACAGAATATAGAGCAGAGTAAAATAGAACAGAAGGAAGGGAAGGAGGGAGAAAAGAGGAATGAAACATAGAATACAATAGACTAGAATAGAATAGAGAGGGGAGGAGAGGAATCGAGCATAACATAGAACATAACAGAACAGAGCAATAGAATGGAATGGAATGGAATAGAATGAAGAGGAGAGGGGAGGAGAGCAATGGAGCACAGAACAGAACAGAACACAATAATGTAATACAATAGAATTAGATTAGAATAGAATTAGAATAGAATAGAGGGGAGGAGAGGAATTGAGCATAAAATAGAACAGAACAAAACAGAGCAATAGAATACAATAGAATTAGAATAGAATAGTATTAGAATAGAATAGAAATAGAAATAGAATAGAGTAGACTAGAGAGAGGGGAGGAGAGGAATGGAGCATAGAACAGAATAGAACAGAGCAGAATAATATAGTATAATGGAATTAGAATAGAAATAGAAGAATAGAATAGAATGGAATGGAATAGAATGAGCACAGGAGGGGAGGATGGGGGGGCAGGGAGGGGCAGCGGCCCTCAGCGGAGACACACAAGGCCCAGCTCCCACAGCTCCCCCTCCCTCCCTCC